TTTTTTTTTGTTAATACGTTTATTGTAAATGAAATGAGAAAGAAAAACTAGAAACTTTTTTCTTAAGTATAAGTTTGATTTCTATATGAAACAATTTAATATGCTAAAACAATTTGGACACTAATTATAATTTGAGTTTATTAAAATATGCCATGGGTAATCATATCAATATTTTCTATGGTGAAATGAAAAAACATAAAAGCATTGTCACCTWCGTATAATAATTAAAATTATCTTTTATTTCTAAATTATTCTTGAATTTTAATAAAAATGTATTATTTAGTGATGTCTGATGAAATTACTTTTTTTTGAAAGGATWACTCAACAGAGATYGTACTTTTTGAAGCCTATAAGGAATTTACATTTAGTCTTTGTATTTTATAGAGTAAGTTATTTTCAAAATGTACTTATATAAAATCAAGTTTTATAGACAGCTATTATGAAAAGTTCAACTCTCGTTTCAACAAATGATTAATTTATCAACCTGCAGATTCTATATGAATATGAAACATAATTTTTCTTGTTAAAATGGAATAATAAAAATTGAACGGAAACCCTTACTTTTGTGGCCTGGGTGAAAAAGAGGAATTCATTATTGTAAGCTTCTTTCCAAGAATCTTGCAATGGTTAAGCATAAAATACTCAGAGAAGGGGAAGTAAAATCTGAACCGTTTAAAATGTAATACAAAATAAAAAGAAGAAAGAATATCAGAAGGGCGAGTGCACCGGAACTGATGACAATTTTCTCTCTCGATCGCCTTCTCGACATGCATTTCATTGACGGACGCATTTCAGTAAAAAGATTTTAAAATGTTAAAATGTATTTACACCTCTTTCATTATTATTATTTATCAAGATGAACATTTTTATGTGATTGAGTGTTTTCAAATAAAAAACCATTACCTTTTAGTTGTACAAATAAGAGCAAAGTAATTTGTTTCATTAGCGAACTTATTCATTTATRAAATWTGAAAAATTAGGAATAWGCTATATTTTTATTTTTATTGATTTAGTTTAATTTTTATTGTTGAAACTAGGAAACCTATACTATACATATCAAACTKTCGATSAATTTTATTATAAAAGTGAAATTGTAATTTTTGAGAATTAAAAATATTTTATATTTAAGAAGTTAACTAATCTTTTAAAACTGTAYAGTGAGCCGTTACTCGTTAGTAATTAAAGATTTAAATAAGAATTTTAAATTTTCATTAGTTGTATATTATGTTTAGGTGTACCTACATCATGATTTTTGAAAATGAAAGTGGTTAATTATCTTTTTGAGACAAATATATGATTTATTACTTATTTGTTTTTATACACCCTAATCAACATCAGTGTACATAATTTTCCAATTAATCTGTCCACACAGAGACACTCTATCATAATTATTATTAAAACTGAAAACAATTTATTGGTTGATGCGAGTAATAGGTTTAACAATCATTCTTTCTCCATTAAAAAAATAAAAAATAAAAAATATCAAGCTGATTATGGCATTGTATAAACATACAATACCTATTACGTGTATTTATTTGTCAAGTGTAATATCTAATACCTATACTATGCGTATTCAAAGAAGACACCTTTACATTTACATGCTGTTTTATTGACAACATTTCAATTATTTTTTTATTCAAAATTAGATTGACGTTTTACTAATAAAACCTACCAAAGCGCTTGTACTCATCACGTGCGTCATCACTCRTCGTCGTATATACCTACCGTTTTGGTTTTATTCATATCGAATAAAAAAATCATCTAATTCGTTTATATTGTTACATGAAACATTGTATCAACGCGTATTCGATTTAATTGTGTACGTGTGTAGTTGCAGATTTTTTTAAATATTATACTCATTTTAGTAATTATGAGGTTTGTTTGCTAAATTCATTCGTCATCGTACTTATGATTCGTATATTCATTATCTATATAAATGTGTGTTATGTAAATTGTAATATTTTTTATTTATTGTTTTTCCACCCAACGTTATATTATATTTTGTACATTTGCGCGTTTTCAAGATAATCGTTTTTACTACAAAATAATATATATAATATATATAATAGGATGTATTCACAGCTTATTGTGTACAGTTTTGCTAGTTTATAACGTTATGTATTGCCTAAGAGATAAAATATAATATATGTATATAATATATGGGTATTTCTGGATTAAATTCTAATCATCAACACATTGTCACAATATACGTATACATGTTCTCAATTTATTTTCGATATACCTAATGCGTATTATATTACCGAGTCCGATTTACTTTCTGATGAATACTACAAGTCTACAACTCGTATAATGTAATTTTATAATATAGCTTAGGTTGGAACATTTAATGAAACATTACAATTAGGTAGGTATTATTATTACAATTAAAACATTAAAAAACATTATTACA